CAGAGTAAGGCAGCAGAGTTGGCAATGTGCCCAGGGAGACCTTCCCCCCAAGCTGCCTGAGCGAGCCCTTTAAAAGTCTCTGAACCGTGGGTGCGGAGAGATTCTGACTCAAGGTCAGGGAGATAAGGCAACCATAGCACAATGCCTCCCTTGCTAAATGCTTAGCCATGGCGTCCACACGCACGTCGCGCTGCTGAATACTGACGAAACTTGGCAAAGTCGGGCCGCTCCGCACGACACACTTTGACAGCCTGGCTTTGTGTAGCTGCTCACGGAGCTGACAAGGAACACTGAGAAGACAGACAAATTGTCAGTGACGACAGATGCGAGTTGGAAGTGAATATGAAAATAAATGGTTTCATTTCTGGCAAATTCTAGGAAGAAGGGAGGAGGGTGGGTTTACACTTTCCTTGTGTATTCAGGGCATTGCTATGTAGTTTGTAACAAACTGCAATATACGCAGTCACAACCCAGCCCACCCCCGGTTAACTAGGTATCTCAGGCACAGCGTCCCGTGAGCACGGGTTTTCCTCACCGGGTTAACTTCTTTCCCCGAAGTTATTAACTTCTCTCAGAGGAAGAAGATGATAAATATCAGTCAGGGAAATCTTAAGGCATTTGAGGATGCAGACATCCACTCAGCCCCAGCACCTACTATAATGAAGGCTGGGAAACCGTTGAGTCAGCATTTCTGTGCAAGAACAGCCTCTTGAAAATCAGGGCAAGGAGCAGTGGGCCTCAAAGGAAGGTCATTCGCTGTCCAAACTGCCTGACCTACACATCCATTTTTGTTGCTCTTCCTCCTAATCCCATTTATGTGTAGGTTCGTACATCGCACGGTTGCAGAGAAGGAAGCCGTTAGTCTAGATTATGGAACTAAATGGATATGAGTTGAAGAAAAGGTTCTGGTATTCGCATTCACTGCCACCAGCCCTCCATGGCTGTTAAACTAAAGAGGATGCTAGAAGGCTGGTCATAAGCCTTCTTTTGTGGAGAATGTCTCAGGTCCTCCTCCTAGAAACAAATCTTGGGCTACTCCAAATCTAGTAAAAGAAACCTTCACCGGCATTGAAAAACAATCAGACTGCAGCGTCTCCCATGATTTAAAATCATGAAGGACATCTTGAGGGGCACTATGATGGTTCCTTTCTTTAAAAACATAGACCTGGAAGCACTTAGGAGTTTTCTGGGGATAGAGACAGTCCAAGGTATTGGGGTGGCTTCTCAACCACCAATGTTCTCAGCAGCACCAAAATTTTCTGGAATGCTGGCAAAAGGCCTTCTTAAGATAACAGTCACCTGATTTTAAAAAAGATTTTATGTTTTTAATTGTGGCTATGTGTGTGTGTATGTGCACTTGGGTGCAGAGACCAGAAGAGTCCAGAAGAGGGCACTAAAGTTCATGGATTTGGAATTAGAGACAGTGGAGAGCGGGCCCCATATGGGTGGGTGCTGGGAACTAACTACAGTCCTCTGCAAGAGTTGTGGGTGCCCTTGCATTAATATTTTCAAGTACACAACAGACAACATGTACTAGGCATGAATTAGAATGATGGGAGGTCCGTATTGAGTTTTTCAAGACCCTAACTAGCCTTCTTGCTTTCAGGTAAATTTCTAAGGGAAAACCAAAATATCAATGCAGAGAGAGAAGCAGTAAAAGAATTCACAACAAACGTCGGTTTCTAAAGAAAAGGAATCTTTGTTGTGACCCAGCTGCCCTCACTCCCCATGATGGACAGCGGAACTTCCTTGTGTTCTTTCTGGCCGGTGGTTTTCCTCAGACGCAGTAGAGGTATAAAAGGCTTTAGCTCGGGACAAAACAAAGGTAGGTTGCTGTCCTTCCACCTGAAAAGAAGCCTCCACGTCTCAATCCCGGCACCCCCCCCCCCACCCCCCCCCCCCCCGCCAGTTTTGGCTATCCAGGCTGCGCTGGCTGCAGCACAAAGATTCTCTTTGTAGTTATGCCTTTAAAAGCTCCCCCCCCCAAAAAAAACCCCCCCCCCCCCCCCCCCCCCCCCCCCCCCCCCCCCCCCCGCCAGTCTCAGCATCCAGGCCGCCCTGCAGTGCGGCAGATCTTCACAAACTCCTCCGATTGGAAGCCTCGTAAATAGAAACTAATTCTTGGTTAAAACAATTGGTGAGAATGGTACTAAAGGAACACAATATGAGTTTGGGTTGACTACACCAATTTCATTATAGAAATGTCCAATGGGTAAGCATTTCACTTATTTCTGCTCAACTAGAAAGTGTTATGGTGAATGAAAAGAGTGAACTCTGTTTCCACAAGAGTTTCCTGAAGAAGGAAAAAAAAAAAAGGAAAGAAAGAAATGATGGCGCTTGCCTCTACTGAACTGAAGCCAGAGTGATGGTCTGCTGTCTCTGCGCCATTAATCAAACAAGCTCCCATCTCAGGGCTGTTAATTTTATATGAGAGACATCAGTCTTGATGGCTGTTTGGAACAAAGGTACGCACTTGACAAGTCTAAGCGCATACAGTTCCTGTCCCTAAGTCTGGATTCAGTAAGAAATTTAAAACATCAGGATTTGGAAAGCAGAAGATGTAGGTTTGTGGTATTTCTCTGTGCAATGTTTTGAGGTCCTCTTTCTACTCGCTTTGCTCGTGTGACTCCTCGTGTTTTCAGTCCCGTGGAATAAAATGAATCTGGAGGGAGAAATGAGAGGTGCTGAACCATCACAGTCCCCACAGGGAAAGCTCATGTGTGTGCCATTCCCCTCAGCACAGGGACTGGAATACGATTTGAAAAGCTTTGTTGAAAAAGTGCATCTTTTTAAAATGTCTGTTAACTAGCTTTTTTTTTTTTTTTGAAAATTCCTACAAACATACAATGTTTCTTGGTCATATCCATTTCCCACCCCCACCCTACGTTGTCTATATTTTATTTAACAGCAAAACTTAGGATAACAGAAAGAGAGAGATGCAGATGTAGTTTTTAAACTTAGCCTACATCTGCAAGTGTTTTCTCATGCGAAGTTACATTTTCTCTTAAGCAAGTCACTTAGTTTAAAAAAAAATTCACAGAATTTTAGACCTAGAACTTGGAATGAATATTTCAAAGCAATGGTGTCAGCAACTTTAAGATGAACCATCAAATACAAATCAAATGAAGAAGCAAGCTACGGACACCAGATTTCTATCAACTTCATTTCATCCCGAAGTTTGGATTTTCTGGGCCCAATGGGTAGCCTTTAAATCCTAGCACTTAAATTCTGAACATGTTATGCTTTTGTTTAATGTATTAGATTTCCTGTTAAGCAACATAAAAACAACTTTCCTCTGGGCTTGTACAAACCAGAAGAGTTGCACCATTCCTTCCCTGCCCGCGATCTCCATCTAACTTGGAACAAACAGTATTGTTATCTACACAAAATGATTAGAACCGATCGCGAGTTGCTCCCCGAAACTGAAATTGTGGTGTAAATTACTGTTTTAAAGAACTGTTCGTTACGGTACCTCCTTTCTGATTTAAAACAAACAGAAACAGACAAACAACAACAACAAAAAAAAAAAAACTGAGGGGGTAGGGTGAGCAAGACCTTTGCGTTTGGCCCTAAATGTTTTTCCTGAGTTCTAAATTCTAAGCCCTCCCCTCATCCCCGTTAGAATGACTGTCTTCTAAGAAGTCATTCGTGAAGACCACAAAAGATAAAGATCTGTCTGTAATGTGTGACTTTTATTATCCATCTTGAGATTCTGTTGTAACTTCACTTGCTAGGCCAGGAGGGTGATCGATCCCCAGCCTCGCAGAGCTCAGAACCAGTTTCTCCCCATGTCTCTCCTGGAGAGGAGTGAGACATCTCCCCTGGGTCCATAAAAGACATAACCTCTTATCCCCCACAGAGAGCAGGTCCTCCTAGCTTTGCCACCTGCAACCCCTTCCCGTCCATATGTCCTCCCGTTCTCAGACAGAAAAAAAAAAAAATCCGCAGCGTTCCAGGCCAGGCAAGGGGTGAGGAGACATCCAGGGCCAGCACGGCGCCCGCCTGGCACTGGAACTCAGCGTCTCTGGAGCGGGCACTCAGGCTGCAGTCGCCCCTTCCCATGACCTCGGAGACAACATGAAGACAGGAACTGCTCGCCTTCCCCGGGTCCTGAATGCTAGGTCTTCATCGCCACGCGCGGAACCATTAAGGTCCCTCCCGCAGCTGCAGCCACCCCTCCATGAAAGTACAATTTGTTATCTGGCCCAGCCTGGAGCAAGAAGAGGTGCTAGCTCCTCTCCCGATTCCGACTCCAGCGCCACTCATTCGGTCCCTTGAATACAGGCTCTAACCGCCTGCGGTGCGATTCGCGGGCAGTTGGCCTCAGAGACACTCCAGTGACACCCCTACCCCGGGACCCTATCCTCTGTGTGCGTTTCTCCGTGACGCTGTCTTTGTGTCTCTCTGTCTTTTTTTTTTTCCCTATTCCACACACGGGGAAGGGGTCGCTCTTCACAGCCAATGCCAAAAATGTCACACACAAAAAGAGTGCAACAACTTGCTTTGCAAACGACTCAGGAGCTCATGGTGAAGTCTCCTGCAGTGAGCAGCAGCAGCAGCAGCAGCCTTCGCCTGCAAGGTGCTGAACCCCGGGTGTGAATTTGGATGGAGACCTTAGAAACAGAGGACCCGGGTTCTTATCCCCTCCCCTCCCCTCCCCCTCCGGGGACCCAGTCTCAGTTAAAAAGCTATTCCTTCTCGAACACCCCAGGGAGCTTCGAGGATCCTATGCCCGGAGAAGGGGGACACTGGCCGCGGGGATCCCTAGGTCACCACTAGGACCAGACGTGCCCCCCTGGGCAGAAGTCAGAGAATTCAGAGTGCCGGCCAATGGCCAGCAGAGGCAGCCCGCAGTCCCTAAGGATGCGCGGGCAACCGCGACCTCGCAGCGGGAGGTGAGCCGGAGCCAGGAGCCACCCAGCGCCACCGCCACTGCCGCCGCCGCCGCCACCGCCGCCGCGCCGCGCACGCCCCAGCCCCGCTGTGCAGCCCGGCGTTACCTTGCCGCTGCCCGCAGTTCCAGTCCGGAACTCGCTGGTGGCGTCTGTCCGTCTGTCCGTCCGACCGTCCTACGAACCTCGGAGCTCGGGCCGGAACGGTGGTCCCGCGGCCGGGGACGCCCCTCAGCGAGGTGACGGGAAGGCGCCCAGCCAGGCGCTGCCGCTCCGGCCGCTCCCCGCCGGAGGAAGGTGTCTGCGAGGCCGCGTCCTCTCGATTGCGGCGGCGCCCAGGGCGCAAGGCTCGCCTCTGGCGCGGAGACTGAGCGCCGGGACGCAGCAGCGGGCAGGGGCGGCGAGGCTGGGCCGGTCACCCGCCCCTGGGTGCCTGTTAATACGGCGGGGAGGAGGAGGAGTCCCGCGCTTCCTCCGCCCAACCACGGGAGCCGGCGGGCGGGCGGGCGACGGCCGCGGCCCGGAGCCAGTCGCTCCCCACCCGCCCCGGCTACTACGGAGTGGCCGCTGGCCTTGGCCCTGGCCCAGGCACGTGCGCCCCGGGCCGCGGGGAGGCGCAGGCGGCTCCCGGAGGGTGCGCGCTCGCTCTCTCGCTCTCTCTCTCTCTCTCGCTCTCTCGCCCTCTCGCTCGCTCAGCCTCCCGTGGCAAGTGCGTCCGCGCCTTCCTCAGAGCGGACTCGAGCTGCTCAGCCCGGAGCCCAGAGGCGGCCACCCGCTAGTGGGCGTGACCTATCCCTACCCTTGCGCAGCGTCTCGCGGGGTGGGGGTAGGAGGGGGGGAAGTAAACTTCCGCTCCCCTCTGCCCGGCGCTGGCTCCTTTTCTCGGCTTTCTATTCTAAGTACAGAAAGCAGAGCGTCGGTCCAGCCCGGAGACCCTGTCTATGGGCAAAGGGTTATTGGGAAGCTCTCCTCTCCATCCTCGGAGCCCACCCTAGGATCTCTTGAAGAAGTAACCACTTAAGAAGAGACGCATTAAGTAGAAAGGCTCGGACTCACACATCACAGAGGACTTCAGACCTGACACGAACGCTCAAAACTGTTCTTCCTTGGCGACTCGGTTTCTTGTCTTTTACATCAAGAGCTCTTGGGCAGGTTATATGGATTAGATAGATGATAACGTTTTTCATTCGTCCTGTTTTAATTAGGAAAGAAAAGACAATCTATTCCTTCTGTCCTCTGACATCAGCAAAACCTCTCTCCTCTACCCTTTCCTGGATATTGAACAGCTCTGAAGGTAGGGTGGGGCCCACCAACATCACAGAAAAACCAGAATAATAGTGTAAACAGGTTAACTGAGAAGAAATAAAAGACCAAGTGAATCACTTAAAAACGCACCGAGTTGCTACTCTACTCGGTACTACACTAGGCATTAAGTATGACACTCAGGATCAACACTATCATGCTAAAATGGTTAATTGTGGTTAATCATCATCTTCCTGTTTACTTCCGCCCGCGAAAAGAAATGTCACATTCACAGAGAAAGCCCTTTTGTTCTTCAGCTCCCGGGGAGAACATTCTGATGAAAAGTATATAATCTTCTTTATGTAATTGTACCCAGAAAGTTATAACATAAGATTTAGCATCTGTTTTGTGTGCTATCTAATTATAAATATTAATAGAATATTCTTTTTAAAGAAAACACTTCTAAAAATGCATAGAAGTGAAAAGCAGTTTCCATAAAAATATGACTCAGATAAATAATCTCCATAATTTCACTAAGTGATTTTCCATTAAAGAGAGAAAAAATAACTAAGCTACTAAATAGAGGTAAACTCTGAGCATTCTAACAGAGCCGCAGCAGACTCAAGAATGTCGATGTGAGGATGCTCACCTTTCAGATCTGGCTCCTTGAAGAGGCCCTATGGAAATTCTCTTAATAAGTTGGAAAGGGCAGCAACAGGGCTTGCATGGCCTTCTAAATATGTTAAATCCATGCGTATTTTTTAAATTGATGCCAAGTATTTCAGAAAATATTCATACTTGTTAAGCTCTAACATAAATTAGATAACTTTAGTAAAGAAAAATTTTTGCTTGAAATCAAAATTCTTTCTTTTTATTGAAAATAGTTTTTTTTCCCAACAGCATCTTCTATATAGCTCAGTGGTAGAGAGAGTTTGCAGAAATCAAGCTTCTTATAGGAGAATAATAATATCTGTACAATCCTGCTTTTGTGAGGCTTTTCTGACTGTGAAAGAAGCCAAATATGACGAATGTAAGTAAAAGTTATTCCTCAGGAAGATAGTGCAAACTTCCAGAATTAAAGAATGTGCTGCAAACAGTATTGTTAGCAAGCAGGGTTGGGACAATGCTCACAGGGGAGGGGTCAGGAAAGCTGGAGATAGTTTAGGGTTTTTTTATTATTATTATTATTACAAAGTCAAAAAGAGAGATAACCCAATGCTCTCCTACTGCTGAACTGAGACTTTAGCATCATTGGCTTGGACATCTGAACAGCCAGGGTCATACAGGTACTAACTGCCTGGGTGTAGCATAAGGGAAGGAAACACAGATGAGGGCTCACTGTCCACAGTCTAAGGCAGGTCCATGGACTTGCCAGTCTTTGAGACACACATGGGATTAAAAATAGATAATTCATCAAAAAAAAAAACATCAGAGTTCCAAAGAAGGAGAATTAGATATTGAGGTTGTTTTTATAAAGGGTAAGTGTCTAGTTCATTGACTGGCTTCTGAATTTACATTATATTATGTTATATATGCATATAATATATAATTAACATTATATATATTCTTAGTTACTTTAAAGAAACATTTTATAAGGAAACGTGATAGTATTTGTTGTTGTTGTTTATATGCTTGTGTTTATTTGACTTTTAAAAGATTAATATCTACCATAGGAATAAATTATATGTGCAGAATCTAAGCAGTAGACAACTCAGAGCTAGTCCGCTGTACCCCTTCTGCGATCGCAGTGTGTTGATTGGATAATACATGAAAAGACGTCCAGTCCTACTCCTGGGCACCAGTCAGCGTTGCCTTCTGTGGGAGAGGGAACTTTGCCGATAAGACTCAACTAGAAACCTTGAGGCAGAAAGATTATCACCCTGTGCTCCTTTGACTCTTTGTAATGACAAGGTCCTCACCAGAGGTGGGGGTAAGGAGGGCCGAAATCAGAAGGAAAGGTGGGACTCTGCTCTCTGTCTACTCAGAAGGTGAAGAAAGACCGCTGTGAGAAATGCAGATTCTGCCCAATAAAAAGCCGCAAGGGGGCAGCTTTCCTTAGCCACCTCCAGAGGAAGAACAGGATGTTCTCGATGTTAGCCCGTTTAACCTGATGTCGGATTTCTGCCCTCCAGACTCATAAGACGATAACTTGACACGTCTTCTAGCCAACAAGCTCGCAATCATCACTAGCAATAGATGGAGACAAGTCATAAAGACCTTTCGCCTAGTGCCACGTTCATGTTCCTGACGATACACCATTGTTAGCGGGTTGCGTGAGAATGCTTTCACATATACGACACTCCTGGAGATGCTTATTCAATGTTGGCTAAGTCCACAGACATGATGGTAAGAACAGAACATTTGAGACTCTGGGCAGACTGGATTCCTGTCACAGAATTTCTCGCTTTCTGGCCAAAGCAATATGGCGGCCTTCTGCCTTGTCCATGACGCCTTGTAGCAGGTGAAAGTAGAAGTAAATAACCATGCAGCAAAGAAGAACCCAAAGGTCTACTTGAAAAATAAACATGAAAGATGTTCACTTTTTTTGTTGTTGTTTTGTTGTTTTGTTGTTGTTGTTTCTCGAGACAGGGTTTCTCTGTAGCTTTGGAGCCTGTCCTGGAACTAGCTCTTGTAGACCAGGCTGGCCTCGAACTCACAGAGATCCGCCTGCCTCTGCCTCCCGAGTGCTGGGATTAAAGGCGTGAGCCACCACCGCCCGGCCACATTTACTTTAATTGGACATTCTCATATGTTTTCCTAGTTTTAAATAACATTAAAATGATGATTTCTAGATAAATATCTCCAGTCCTCACATCTCCACTAGGTTTAAGATTTGTGAGTCCCCAACATGCTAGAAAGAAATGTACCTGAAATTTTCAGACACCTCAGACGTAATAGACCAAAGTTAACCCATCATCTGCGCCTCTCCTCCATTCAGATTTATTTCTCTTCCTGGCAATGGGTAGCACAGAGGTAAAGCCTACATCTATGAGGTCTTTGGTTCATGACAGTAGTAAAAATAAAAAGGCTTCTTGTATTCAGCCATGGCAATATCATCCACCAAATAGCCATGGGTAGCAACAAAAACCTGTAGACTAGTTAGAAGGCTGCTTTAGTCCGCAACTACTGCTGGCCTCTTCCATCATCTAAACAGGTCTCAAATTCAACCTCTATCTCCATTTCTAGTATAGACCTATTGGGATCCCATAATCTCCCTTCTAGGCTACTATAATATCTATTTTCAATCTCAATTACTATAAATCTCTTTTCTTTAATCTAGATTTGCCTTTTCTTCAAAAAATGATATTAATTTTAAAATATATTAAGACTGCAACTTTGACCATGAAAGTGTACTACTTTAAGGACTTTTAATATCTATATAAAGTATAAATCTTCAGCATGATGCACAAAGTTTCCATATACTTGCTTCTTCCCCTTTATTTGGTCTTTGCATTCGTGTTTTGTGTATTTTCTTTCATATAGAACTGCTTTCTGTAGTACTATTTATGTGATGCGCTCTGTCACACATGTGAAACTGTCTCAAACTTTCCCATTGGAATGTTCTGTCTTTTCTTTGTTGAGTAATATTCATTGCAAGAGTGGCTTCAACTAAGCCACTTTCCCAAATTATTGGGTAGCATCAAATTTCGCCAATGCTGACCATGCCCCCCCCTCTCTCTCTCCAGATATAGATAGATAGACACATATATACATATATATGTATATATACATATATATAGTTCAAAGTACCTGAATTATGCTTTTGAGATTCTGTCCCTACTTAGATCACCAAAAATTAGCCCAACACTTGCCTTTCCACAGGTAGTCAATACATATTTTCAATCTCATTGACTGTAATGGCTATGAGAATATTTTATGATGTCAGCAAATGTCTTAATTGTATTTCATAGAAGTTTATGTGATACAGTATTCACCTGCAGGCAAATTAAAAACCTATGCCCGTAACATGTTTAAGAAATGAGAATCCAATCTTTAGGTTTGAGTGTATAAAGGAGAGTAAGGGACTAAATCGGGAAAAAGAACAAGGTCAGTGGGGAAGAAGGAGAAGGAACTGTAGAAGGGGATATTTATTAAGACACAGATGCTATGAATTGGGAAAGGGGGAAAACAGGAAACTCAACTGGTGAGGGGAGTTAGGAGGGTAATATAGATGAAGAGGGAAGAAGGAGAGATAAATCACACTAAGGATATTTGAAAGGCCCATGAGAAACATTATTTTAATTATTTTTAAGTCTGCTAAAAACACATATACGTTTATATTTTACATATAATATATTTTCATATACACATATGTGTTAAATAGAGTTACCTCACATGCAGTGATAGTGTTCACACACCCCTTCCTCGGCTCCAGGAACCATAGGCTATGTGTGTGGGGGGGGGGGAACAAACCTGTGTCACGCAAGAGACACCTCCCTTAGAGTTGTTGATCAAGGGAATCACC